GCATCGGAAGAGAGGAGGCCCGAGCCGAGGCGGTCGATGCCGAGGCCCCTGGCCAGGAACAACGGGTGCCCCTGCGAGTAGATGCTGCGACCTCCAGAGATGCCGGGGCGCGACCTTGCTGGACGGGAGGAGGTGGTGGTCGCCCGTGCGGTCGCCGGCCAGAGACGCGAGGTTGTCCTTGGAGCACGTGTAGCTCCCGCGTGTGCGTCCGGCGTGTGCTCTGGCGGTGCCCCGCAGGTTGACCTCCCGCGTGTGCTCTTGACGGAGGAGGCGGGCACGCGGGCACCCTCGTCACCATCCTAGCGTCCCGCGCCGCCACTGCCGGGGTTCACTTCCTCGTCTTCCACAGCGAGCAGTCCTCACGGGCTGCCGGGCTTCCTCATCACCGTTTCCAGCCCAAGATGCGTACAGACGGTACAGTGAGACGGAGGTCGGCGACCTTGCTCCAGCAGCTAGGGTGTTTGATGAATTGCCAATGTCAATCTCAGATGCGCAGTGCAACCTAACACAGTTTATTAGATGCAGCTTGCCACTATGCATTTAACCAAACGGATGCACAAACAATACAACAGAGTAATGCAGTTCAACCAAACAACAACGGATTGTATTTTTTCATGCAGGCTAGCCTATAATGCATAACCCTTAATGCAATGCAAGTTTTATGCAAGCAACTAATTACCGCCCTGTTCGCTTGGCTTATAAGCAGTACTTTTTCAGTCAACGAATAATATTTTTCTCTCACAATAAATCAGCTAACAGTACTTTCAGCTATAGCTTATCAGCCAAGCGAACATGTCGCACACCCTTAGAGAAACTCAAGGTAAGGCGCTAAGCAATTCACAAATTGCTATCCTTATTCCCTAACAAATTGAATTTGAATTTAAACTTATACCACTAGAGAAGCAGAGAACTAGAGGCTCGGCCTGACTCACTCCTCGCTGCTGCTGGGGTTTCAGCAAAGAAGAAGGCCAAGGAAGCTGGGGTTATGTTATAAGAGATGATGAAGGGGAAGTCATTCATGCAGGGGCGGGGAAGATCAGAAATGCGCTGGAGGCATGGCAAACTGAATTGGTGGCATGTATTAAAGGAGTGATGAAGGCAGCGCAGAGTCTAGGCATACACAGGATGATGCTTGAAACAGTTATCATGACGACTGTAAACGCTATGCAGGCTACTGATTTCAGATTATCGTCGATGGGAGGGCTCCTGCATGAACTCAACGAGATGCTTGCCAAGGAGTTTTCTGAACCCAAAGTTTCCTTTTCTCCGCGTTCTTGTAACACAGTAGCACATGAATTGGCTAGAGTTGATAGTTTTTGTCAGGAGGATGTCGTTTTTGTTCCTGGTACTCTATTAACTATTACTCACTCCATCCCAAATTGTAAGACGTTTGATTTTTTTACCCTAAGTTTGATCACTCGTCTTATTCAAAAAATTTGTACAAATATAGTCAAATTTAAGTCATTTTTAAAGAATTTTTATTAATAAATCAAACCACGATGAAAGAAGTGATATTTTACACAAATTTTTGAATAAAACGAGTGGTTAAATTTAGTGTCAAAAAAATCAAACGTCTTACCATTTGAAATGGATTGAGTAGTTCGCAAGATTAATGGAAATGCGTGGTTCCCTAAAAAAATGATATGACGGCACTCTCCGCGCGAGTGGCTGCAGAACTAGAGCTTCTCAGTCTCACTGTGTGGCACCGGCGTGCAATTTGGCACCATCTGAAATTCTGAATGCTGGTAGTTAGGACGTACTGCTAGGAGGGAGGCATAGGTAAGTAGATGCGCGAGAAGAATTTTGATAGCACCTGGATCCATGATCCAGGACTAAAGTTTATTATATGTCACATCAGGTATTTAGATATTAATTAAAAAACTAAACATAAACTTAATTAAGCTTAATAGGTTTATCTTATAAATTAGTTTAATCTATATAATTAGTTTTATAATTAATTTATATTTAACACTCTAAATTAGTGTTAAATCTTCGATATGATATGGATTAAATTTTAACAGTGGGAACCAAACACAGCGTAAAAAACACGGCGCCGGAAGGGGCAATCATGCACAAGATCACGTGCAGGCCTGGAGCCCGGCTCTGCAGGGCTGGCACATGGCGGCCGGAAGCCCGGAACGGGTCGGACCGTCGGACTGTCGGAGTCGGATTAGGCCACCACCCGTGCCATGCATCTTTCTGTCAGGTCTCCACCAAACAGTCCCCGTCTGACGGCACCTTCCGCGGTCGCCCCGTAAAGCGTTACCGGCCGGTCGGCCTAAAGCAAGCTTATAGCGAACCAATAATCTCACTGCGCCGCGGCGATCCAGGTCAGTCGCCCACTCTCCGCTGGAAGTTGGAACTGACCCCAGACGTAGACCGGTGGCGTCCCGCGCGCCGACGGTCCGACTCCGGCGCCCGCGCCGTCCATGGACATCGCGACCGGTTGCATGGAAATTTGACCGCTGTCCGATTAAATACATAGATAAAATGGAAATGGAAACTCCATACAGTTTGGGAAAACAATTGGCAGATTTATAGTTATGTACATATATGAACCCCACCTATCTGTCCGATTAAATACAGTACTTGCAAGGTCAAGCTTGCGATGTACGCCCTACGTTCCATAAAGATTCTAGACATATTAGTGGCAAAGCAAAATGACTTAGATATACCACTCAAAAGCGCAGATGAATATTGCCGAACAGTGATGTAGTACAAGTGTGTACAGTATCGATAGAATGTCTTTTTTTTGTAGGGACAAATCTTGAATTTTATAAGATCTTTTGCCATATTTATGTGACGGAGGGAGCTGAAAATTCAGAACGAATTCTTCTACGCTCTTTCTTTTTCCAAGAGAGGGACGCCGGATCGGAGGACGGAGGCCACACCACGGGCTGAAAGAGAAGATTCCTTCTTCACTTCTGGGATTCAAAGTTCCAGCATCCATCCACGTCTAACCAACTGAAATGTCGCGGTAAGCGGCGGAGGTACGAGTAGGAAACAAACATCAACGTCCAGCAAAGTCGTTACGTGAAAAATCACGCGAATTTAGCGAATTGTTTCCTAGTGTGATTGCAAATCAGTTGTCTGAGCCTACACACAATGCCGGGGTGGAGTGAGTCCTAGTCTAGCGTATATGCGGCTCGTTAGCCCGTCACTGTTCAGCGTTTACTGTTTCAACGGGAGCATCCAAAAAGCTAATGGTCGAGCTCCAGCCGGGAAAGGAAGGGCAACGCAAGCTACTATCTATTGGATACTGATGTGTGCGTCCATCACACCCCGACCTCAGCAAGCGCATCCCTGAGCTGGTTACTGGCTACAGACTGCAGTACTCCACGAAGAATGCTAGAGCTGAACTGAACAGCTGGTAGCTGCATGCATCAAAATGTCGAAAGCTTGAGATGCTACAAAATCAGAGGCCATATATGAATTTCGATAAGGAAAAAAAGAAGTCCCAAGAACAGCGAAACCAGAAGGACAGTTGCAGTGCTCGAGGATCACCTTCTGAGTTTTGCTGTCTTCTGGATATGGTTATGCGAGCATGGTCAGTGCAGGTACTCATGGCTAGAGAGTGGATTCTGTGGTCATCAACAGCAACAAGCCTAACATTACACGTCACAAACAAGTTACAAGTTGAAGAACGCAAGGACCGCAATCCTTCCAGCACATCTGATCGCATGACAAGCCAATCATCCAGCTACTTTATTATTTTAACACGGGCGCAAAGTACCAGGAATCAGTGGAAACACACCCATCACTCACAGGAAGCATGTGATACGAAAGTAAAGAGGGCCTAAGTCAACCATAGCAATGGCTCAAGTTGAAGTTGAGATTAATTTCAGAAGATATCCAATCGATTCAGTACGAGCTAAATAAAAGAAGGTATATGCTACAACTTACAAGATTACGACAGCCCCTGGACAGTCGATCGATTGTCTCTGTACAAGATGGTGCAAAAGTTGGTGATCCTACGGACTACGGTATAACTAAAAGAATAAACATACAACACACCGGTGGCAATGGCATGACGACATGACACTATGACAGTCCTGAAAGCCACCCATTTCACCTACGATAACCAAGAAACAACTCGCCCAGCATTGGGGGATTGAAACAGAAGTACCCAAAAAACACAATGAATGGCTCAGTCATATCAGTTCTTTTTAAGGAAATCACAGATGCAATTTAGTTCTCCACATGCACCCAACAACCTTTTTAGGAGACGGGTCCTTTGGTCCTTTGTCTCGTTGCCCAGAAGTGAAATACAGCCAGCCATCCCAGTATCCTACCAATGTACTCCATCCATTCCAAATTATGTCATTCCAAGAATCTGGGAGAGTCAAAGCATCTCAAGTTTGACCAAAATTATAGAGAGAACTACAAAAATTTATGATATTAAATAGATATACTATAAAAATATAATTAATAAAGAATCTAATGATACTTAGTTGGTATCATAAATATTATATTAACCTATAAATTTGGTCAAACTTTAAATACTTTGACTCTTCAAGATTCTTGGAATGACTTATAATTTGGGATGGAGGGGCTAGTCTTGATTCGGAAAGGTAACCGCCCAATCACACTCCATTCCTGCAGATGGAGGTTCAATAGTGTCACGATAGCATACCAAGGGCCACAACGATTTACAAAATGCGATTTTGATACATTCTTATGATCTTATCATGCTTCCTGTTACCCACCTAATTATGTACTTTTTCAGCATCATGGAAATGTAAATTTCAGCAATAGAAAGTTTAACGAGGTTAGTTGCTTTTGTGTTAAATACACAGCAGAATACTGTTGCAATACCATCTGATGCTATTAACAAAAGCATGAAAATCCACTGACAAGAAACAAGAAATAGATCTGCAACGAGCATGCTCTTTTTCCTCCAATTTCCCATCCTTTTCTGAACTATCTTTACAAGAAACAGAAAACACAGAAACAAAGGGAACAAAATATGTACCAGCGTATCCAGATTGAACCGAAATACTTCACCAACCAACACCAAGAGAATTGTTGACATTCACCCAAGCAAATTCTATATGTGAATCTGGTTTAGGCATAGGTGGAAGTTCCTTCCAAGTCGTTCCATCATCAAGCATATAAACATTACTATACACAACCTGCACAAACAGATTGTAGTTTTTAAAAGACGGGCAATAACAAAGATAAACAAATAGTGCGAATAGGAAGGTTACTAAGAAAATAGTGAACTACTAGTACTTTTGGATTGATTCTGGTCTCAACTCAAAACCATCAATTATGGCAATGCTTGAATATATGCGATATATGATAGCTTCATACTTCAATCAAACTAAATGTCTTTAGCATTTGCTTTTTTTCTTAAAAAAAATGCAGTGCACATGATGCCACTCCACTTTCTGGTGAAATTAGGTCCGCCATTATTTATTGAACAAAGTAGGTGCAGCGGGTGTGGTGCTTAGAGCCTTAGATGCTTATTTACTAGACTTAATCATGCTCAACATATGGTTAAGTTGTCTTTAATGCAGGGAATTGATCTCAGTTGATCTTAAAACATAGAGACCACATAATGTGCATCAATTAACTATATATATCAACATACCTCACTTCTTCTAACACATTTAAATATAGGAGACCCAGGCTTGGCCATGAAATCACCTTTTTGACCACCGATAACAAGGAGTTTATCATTTGCAACAACACAAGCCCTGGTAGTAAATGAAAATATCTTTATAAGAACTTCAGCAACTTCTTATAAAGTTCTTTGTACGATGCAACCAAATATAGAAAACCATTTCCTAGAAGCATAAGAAAAGTGGAAGTGCAAAGTGCCAAAATGCCAAGACAGCCTAGGGCATAGGCATCTAGCAGCATGCTTTCCAATGAAAATGACAACTGCTGACAACATAGGAAGGGAAAGTTCGAGACCTATGAGGACCTCCACGCGGTATTGGTATCTCGCTCCTCCACTCTTTCTCCAATGCTTTCCCATCCTTTACCGCGAGACGCCAGTGTTCAAGCCCAGGTTTGTGCCTATCCTCCTTGCTGCCACCCATCACATGAAGTCTGCCTCTCCAAAGTTGTGTTGCTGGAGCATATCTACACAGAAGAATTTTAGTTGGAAAGATATTGGGTTCAAGTTCTTTACAGCCTACAAGTTGATCAAATATTCAGACAGTATTTGCAATAGCAGGATCAGAGGCAGAGCTACGGTTAAAAATCTGGTGGTGCAAACTTGGATGCATCTAATACAAATACAATATTATATGGTGGAAAATGAAAATTTCTAGTAAATTTGTTCCATGGTGGTACCTGTGTGCCACCATGTCCTACATGGGACCAACAACTTAATGCATACATGCACAATGCTTGGATGCCCAATTTTTAAAAAATAAAAGAAGATAGTACCTAGGAACTGGCAATGGTGGCAGATCATGCCATTCTTTTGTTTTTGTGTCCAATACAAAATATCGAGCTGTTGGTCCCCTACATTGTGGACCATACTGTCCAGTTACCACATAGATGAATCTTCCATCAGTAACCATCCCCAAATGTGAATGTGCCATGTCCTTGGGTATGTCAAATCTTCCACCCCATGTATTATCCAAGAAATTGTATATATCAGCATGAGAATGCACCTAAAATAAAAAGAAAAAGGAAATTCCTTAAGGAATACAACTTGCTTAACATATTGAAATAACTCACATCTACCTGCAGTTTTTTTTTCAATTAAGAAAAAAAAACCATGGAATAGAACACCAGGGTGACATTTGCATTCTGCTATTAATAAATATAATTGAAAGTCCAGCAATGTTAGTACTATCATAACAGCATGAAACTACCATTTCTATTAATAAAGAAGAAATTTACACGTAAGTCACCTACATGGAAAAGGAAAAGAAAAGACTTTACAAAGGGCTGCCAAGCTAGGCTCCTACCACCAAAGAAGCTAAGAAAGACGCACCAAGCCACCAACAAGGCCCCAAGTTTAACCCTCGTCCCTAATTTTACTCTGATCCCATCTACATAACAAATAATAGAACTGCATAGAAAAGGAGCCTTCGCAATGTTATTACTTGTTATGTAGATGGGATCAGAGCAAAAAATAATATATAGCCCAAGTAATTCAAGTGTATTTCATTATGTAAGCGTATACATGACATGAGTACATGACTGAATGGTCAGGACTAAAGCCCCCTTTGGCACGGCTCATCCAAAACGGCTTCACCGGTGAAGCCAGAAAAACTGGCTTTTCCCGGCTTCTAGTTCATTTTAACCCCGGCTTACAAAACGACTTCACGCTACAGTGCCTCGATTTGCGCAAAATAGATGAAGCCGAAGCCGGCATAAGCCGTGCCAAAGAGGCCCTAACTAGAGCTTGGCAATCTCAATAACTCACGTAACTTACTTAAATTGAATGAATAGGGTATAATACTAGTACAATCAGTCTATTTCACAACTTGGCGACTCGGCAATACGTTGTTTAATAAATGCAAGAGTATATAAGTAGCTATCTTGAGCTATCATTCAAATCTATAGTGGCAAATCCTTTTTCTATTATGCCTTCCAAAATATAGAGTGAAATCATCATGTGCAAGAGGGTATGACTGCTCCATAGCATAAAGTGTAGAAAAGTAGATATCTTGAAACACAAAGCATGATGGTATAGGGTAATGGAAGATATCAGGCAGGTCTCTCACATGGTTAATGGTGCCATATCCAGCAAATACATATAAGAGATTCTTAATCTGTATAGCAGCGCCATCCATTCGTCATTGTCTCTTTCTTCTTCCTCTTTCTTCCTCCTCTGTACATGGATCGATCCATTTGCTGGCCGGTGGATCTCACCGCGCGGGGGAGGGAGACGGAGAGGGAAACACGCCGCTCTGGGGAAGGGGCCTGGCCGGGCGGCGACCCGCGCTCGCGCTCGAGCCCTGGCCCTTGGCCGGGTGGCGCGCTCGCGTCGGGGCAGCGAAGGCGGCGCGGCGGGCGAGCCCCAGGGTGGCATCCAGGAGCCGCCGCACCTCCGCCGCGTCGCCGGCCGCCAGCCGCTCGTTGAGCCCCGTGCACCCCAGGGCGTTGCGCATGCGTCGTTCCCACGAGCCGGCCCGGGCCGATGCACAGGACCGTGCCTGGGCCGCTGCTCATGTGTGCCGCGCTCAGGTACGGCGGTCGGCACGGCATTTAACAGCAGGCCCGGTACCAGCCAGCGGGCTAGCACGGCCTGCTAAGGCCAAAGACCTGCAGCCTGCTAAAAGCTCCCTGCGCCCTGTTTCAAAAAAAAAAAAACTCCCTGCGCCCCCTCCCGATCTCTAACCGGCTAACCCTAAAATCATCACCACTCAGCGTCGCACCCGCACTCGCTACGCTCGGTGGCCTCCGACCCTCGTTCCCCGCCTCCCCTGCCCCCACTCACACGCCTCATGGCTTTTCCCAACGCTCCATGCTGGAGTACTACCCCAAACGCCACGTCCGCGCAGCATAGCCAAATCACAAAAGGTAGTGGTTTCACAGACATATAAAGAGCAGCTTGCAGAAGAGACGGTAGTTTCATCTGACAAAAAGGGGAAGCAGCTGCTGAGGCGCGCGTTGCAAGTATGGGGCAGCAACTCAGATGCAATATACGAGACTAAAACTGGCAAAAAGCATCGTAGATTACGAGGGAGAGAGAGCCAAGGTCCTGCAAAAAGCAGGCTGCAGAGCACTACGCGCTGTGGACATTGATGGCTCTATTTTCTGTAGTCTACGTGGAGACCAACTTTTCTGTAGCCTGCGATGGTGGTGCCCTCAAGGGGGCCGCCTCAAGATGGCAACAGGTACCTAAAACCCGAGTACCCGACGGGTTTTACCCGATAAAAAGGCGGGTATGGAAGATATTTTGCACCCACGGGCATGTTATTGGACGAATTCTTGTACCCATCAGGTATGCGGGTACGGGTGTGGGTATATACTACCCATACCCGCATACCCGCGGGTAAAAAAAACCCGCATAAATAATATCCAACCTCTGCAATTTTAGCCCATATAAGCATATAGCCCATATTTGGTCCATATAAGCATATGAGTATATATATTCGAGAACTCCCTCAAACCCTAATCCTCATCCTCACTCCACTCCACCAGCCCATATTTCTGTTTTGCTGCTCTATTGTTGATTTGTTTTGCTGGAAGCTATTATATTTTGGTGTGTGAACTCGGGTATATTGTTGGATAAGAATTACCCGTCGGGTAAGAATTACCCGTCGGGTGCGGGTATGGAATAAATTTTCTACCCGCCTGCGGGTACGGGTAACCCGACGGGTAAGATTTTGATCTGGCGGGTGCGGGTACGGGTGGTCAGTACCCATCGGGTACGTACCCGTTGCCATCTTGAGGGCCGCCCCATGCGTATCCCTCCGCGCAGACCGCGCCTCCCCGGTCCCCAGCCGGCTAGCCCCATTCGCGTGGTGCGCCCCTCTCCGCGCCCAACCCCTCCGCAGCTACCCGAGCCGTTGGCCCCAGCAGGAGGCCGCCTGTAAGGTCGAGCAGCCGGCAGCGCCAGCGGAAAAGTTAGCCTAGCAGGAGAGGCGCTCCCGCCCTTTCGCTCGTCGTGCACGCCCGGTCGCAGCTCGATGCTTCACTGTAACGTGGCGGATGGCGGCACTCCCCCACGAGGCCTCGGCGACAGCTCCTCCCTCCGACCCTCCCGCTCGCGGTGGCGCCATGGAACTGGAGGAGCTCCCTCTCGTGGCCTCAACAGCTCCTCTGCGACGCGACGACGGCGCTCCCCCATGGGGCCACGGGCCGGCATGACCTGCTAGATTGGTCGTGCTTTTTGGGCCGGCCCGGCAAGCTGGGTCGTCACTCGTCAGCCAGGCACGAAGTCCAGCATGGCACGCCCTGGCAGCATGGCGTACCCTACTTGCCGGCATGAACGGTCATCTATACTCCCACGCCCTCTGCTGAGCCTCCGTCGCCGCCGTCGTTCCCTCTCGCACTCTCGTGTTGCAAAACCTAACAGCCTGTTCAGCTGGGGCTGAAACGATCGTATACGATCATGGATTATTACTACTGACTGGTTTGGTGTGAAAGAAAAATACTGTTCTGACTGAAAATTTACTATCGTTTACGACCAAGCGAACGTGCCTGCATATGTGGATTCCGTTATTGATGTCGTCGTCAGTGCCGTTATCCTTATTCCGACAACACAGCCAATAGAAACATGCCAGCTGTCAGCGGTGCTCCCGTGGCTGGAGGCCTCTCCCACGGGTGGTGGTCAACCTTCCACAGCCACAAACCGGCGCAGCGGCCACGTCCTCCCCAGCTCTCCTCCTCCCGTCCTCCGCACCGCACCCCTGCCCCTGGACGTCGCCGCCAGCAACACCACCAGCACCAGCAGCCAGACAGACGACCTTGCTTTGCTAGTTTGCTTGGAGGAGAGACACCGCAACCGCATTGCCATGAGAGGGAATGGGGCCTTGCTGCTCGTGCGTCGTCTGAATTAGCTCGCTCACGGCCGCCCCCCGGCCCAGGTATGCATGCCAGAATTCGGTCATCATCTGAATTGAAGATGGCGGCAGCAGCATCCATGGCGGCCCGTGGCGGCGCGCTCGTTGCGAGCAGCAGGCCGAGCAGGAGGATGGGTGGCTGCAGGGCGGAACCACCGCGTTTCTTGGTCGTCAGCTGCGATGTCAGGACAGCGGACGTCTACTCCTCCCTGGTATGTTTTTTTTTTACTCTTCCCTAGTGAGTGCATTCTGATTGATTAAAATGGAGTAACTAGCAACTAGCATGCATGTCGATTTGATATCTGCAGGCTGCAAAGATTTTGGGACCTCCCATGACCTTCAATGCGGCAAAGCTCAAGGTGAAGTTCGCCGGAGAGGACAAGCAGCGTCCTCCTTTCCCCAGAGCCTACACTCTGACCCACTGTGACTTCACGGCGAACCTGACGCTGGCCGTGAGCGGTCCCATGACCAGCGAGCAGCTGCGCAGCTGGCAGTCGACGCTGCAGAGGGACGACGTGGTGGCAGAGTGGAAGGAGGTGACCACCGCCGCCAGCGCCAACGCCGGGGAGAGGGAGATGACGCTGCAGGTGCATTGCTTCGTCAGCGGCGCCAACCTCCTGCAGGAGCTGGCCGCAGGTTTCAGATACTACGTCTTCTCCAAAGACCTGCCGCTGGTATGTACTACGTTGCTTGCATTCCAAACAACTGGACCCTTAATAACCTTATCTGCTAATAAGCTGATGATGGATCTTAATTCTTAAGGTCCTCAAGGCGGTGGTTCATGGCGATGCGGCTCTGTTCGCGGAGCGGCCGGAGCTGATGGAGGCCAAGGTGTGGGTGCATTTCCACTCCACCTCTCGCAAGTACAACCGGATAGAGTGCTGGGGCCCGCTCAGGGAGGCCACCAGGAGGAACCACAACCACCTGCTGGATCTGGATGGCCGCCGGCTGGACCAACAACTGCAGAGCGCCATCACCAAGAGCAAGCGGCGAAGGAAGTGGGCGACCCCCGAGACAGTCTTCAACGCCCTGCTCGCCCTTCTCCTCTGATTTGATTCAGCTGCCTGCTGTGCCGCCTTTACACGGACTATAGAGTGATCGAGCAAAGCAATTGTGACCTGATTCATATATACGTACTCCTACAGACAACCAAACCATTGTCAAAGAATTTGGAAAGATTGTTCATACTTTGCTCTGCTGATGTGCACTCACTTATATATATATATGTGTGTGTGTGTGTGTGTGTGTGTGTGTGTGTGTGTGTAAATTTATCAGCATCAGCGGATAGATTAACTGGCATGCATTCTTTCTAGCTACTTCTATGATGTATGTACCATTTCAAAGTGAATATATGAATTGGCAGTTGCTACTTGATTGCTAGCAGTTTCTCTCCTGCTCCACCCGTAAGTGAAGTGAACATTTTACTTGCTTGTATCATCTTCTGGTGTTTTTTTTTTGTGGAAAATGTATCACCATCTTTTCCTTGCAGAAAATGTTTAGGTTGCCAATTTCTAATGCTAGCGTTACTTTGTAGTTATGATGAACAGCACCGCGGCATCTTTGAGCAGTACAATTGCTATTTCTTTTAAAAGGCGGGAGAAAAACATTCAGTTTCAGTAACAGGCAGCCTCGCTGGTTTCAGAAGTTCCACTACGTAGCACAGGGCCATCCATACGGCACGCACAACTGCCGTTGCGATTTCAACCTTGTGCCGTTGTGCGCTCCAATTTTAGGGTGGCTAGCAGTTGCAGGTAGAGGTAGGCCTAGGCCATGCGCGCAATCGTAAAAGCTAAGCAATAAACTTTTTACCAACATAATCGCTATATGTATTGAAACGCTCAAACGCACACAAAATTAATTTGTTGATTGACTTTTTTTTGTACAGCCTGTAGAGATTGACAGCGGGCACTTTAAGCTAAGCACGATTGCTTTGGTTTCGATTGCTTCTCTCTGTACCTAGCTCTCTCTACATCTATATCTATATATATACAATACACGCCTTCTCTCTCACACACACTCTCCACAACAAGAAAGCAAGGAGGAAAGGAGAGAAGGCTTGCTCTGCTCGTTCTTTCACTGCATTGCTTCTCATCAGTTGGTGCCAGTGCCACCACACCAACATGGGCACGTGCGTGAGCAAATGCTACCCCTGTTTCCCCTGTCATCCTTGCAACAATTCCATTTCCACCGCCGACGACTCACAGGCTTGTCCTGCCGTGCACCCGCACCCATTGCCACCAACCACACAAACAAAGGTGGCTTCTCCTGCCGTGCATCCGCACCCATTGGTAGGGGAAGCAGGATCAACAGCTTCTCCCGTCCCACCACCACCACCTCCTTCTCGCTGTCACTAGTGGCGTCGACTTCCTTGTGCGCCTCCTCCTCTGGCTCCTCATCGTCTGCGGCTTCATCCTCCTCCTACTTGTGACAGCCGCGTGAGCTGGTCCTCTTACCCAACGCTGCCACCAGCAGCAGCAGCAGCATGTTGTCTCAGGAGTGGGACATTATGGTGCTGTACCCCAAGTTGAACGTTGAAGTCGTCCGACTCCGACCGTTGCAATCCCATCATCAGTGGCAGCGGCAGGCACAGACTTGCAACACCCACGCCCGAGCGCCCGCGGTCAGTGTCCCCTTGTCCACCCGCTTGGCACCAGGCTCCTACGAGAAGCAACAGCAGCAGCACAAGAAGAAGAGGTAGAACACCGGTAGGCGGAGCACGACGGCAACACAACAGGAGGTCATCGTGCTCGCGCAGGCCAGGACCAGGAACAAGGACAAGAAGACTAAGGTGAGCCAGAACCAAAGCCTGAGGAGGAGGGGAGTGGAGACCAAGACCTCATCATCAGCTCATGCAAATTCTAATGTTAATGTTGCGTCCGCGGGTGACGGCGGAAGATGACCTCGCCAATCCCATCATCTCCATGGATTGTTTCATCTTCCTCTGATGACTGCTTCTCATTTCCATTCATGGTCCATGAGCATGGATGCAGTGCTTTTGCTTTTCTTCTAGTGACACCTTTTTCACTTAATTGTGATCAGAGTCTGACTGCCTGTCTATAATCGGTGATGATTGACTTGTTTGGGGATTATATATATATATCATCAGAAGAGACATTCTGTGCTATTGCCCCTATCTGTCGATACTCATCGGAAAGACAGAGAGATGTGAGAGATGGCATACAATAATGGGAGAGTTGGTTGCTGGATTGATGTTACTGATGTCGTCGTTAGTGCTGTTATCCTTATTCAGCCAGGACAACCAATAGAAACATGCCAGCAGTCGGCGGTGCTACCGTTGCTGGATGCCTCTCCCTCGGGTGGTCGTCAACCTTCATGGACCATGAATGGAAATGAGAAGCAGTCATCAGAGGAAGATGAAGCAATCCATGGAGATGATGGGATTGGCGAGGTCGTCTTCCGCCGTCACCCGCACGAGCGCAGTAGCAGCAGTAGAATTTGCATAGAGCGACTGACGAGGGCTGATACAGTGATGCATAATTGCATAGACATAATGGGAACTCCACACCGTTTGCGACTGCGAGCGAACACAAGTGGCAGAATTAGGGTCTTGTACGCCGGATCGGAGGGGCCTGAAAGAAGGTTCCTTCTTCACGTTCTGGGATTCAAAGTTCCTACATCCATCCACGTCCAATCAAAATCAACCGGGCTTAGTCCAACTGAACTGTCGCGGTAAGCGTCAGAGGTAGTAGTAGTAGGAAACATCAACGTCCAGTAAAGTCGTTACGTGAAAAATCGCCCGAATTTAGCGATTTGTTTCCTAGTGTGATTGCAAATCAGTTGTCTGAGCCTACACACAATGCCTGGAGGAGACCGTCGACCGGTGAGTCAAGTCTAGCGCATGTGCGGCTCGTTAGTCCATCACTGTTCAGCTTTTACTGTTTCATCGGGAGCATCCAAAGAACTACTGGTCGTCGTGGTCCAGCTCCAGCCGGGAAAGGAAGGGCAAGGCAAGCTACTTGGATAGTGACGTGTGTGTTCATCACACCCTGATCTCAGCAAGCGCATCCCTGAGCTGAGCTAAGTATTGGCTACGGTACTCCACGAAGAATGCTAGACCTGAAAAACTGGTAGCTGGATGCATCAAAATGTCGAAAGCTTGGAATGCTACAAAATCAGAAGCAATATATGAATTTCGAGAAGAAGAAGAAGAAGAAAGTCCCAAGAACAGCGAAACCAGAAGGACAGTTGCAGGTGCTCGGGATCACCTTCTGAGTTTCGCTGTCTTCTGGATACGGTTATGCGAGCGTGGCCAGTGCAGGTACTCATGGGAATGGATTATGTGGCCATCAACAGCAACAAGCCCAGCATTTCACGTCACAAACAAGTTACAAGTTTAAGAACGCAAGGACCGCAATCCTACCAGCATATCTGATCGCATGACAAGCCAATCCAGATACTTTATACTTCATTATTTTAACACGGGCGTAAAGTACCAGGAATCAGTGGAAATACTCTCATCACTCACAGAAAGCATGTGATGCGAAAGTAAAGAGGGCCCAAGTCAACCATAACAATGGCTCAAGTTGAAGTTGAGATTAATTTTAGAAGATATCCAATCGATTCACTACCCACTACAGACGAGTGTACGAGCTAAATAAAAGAAGGTATATGCTACAACTTACAAGATTGCGACAGCCCCTGGAGAGTCGATCGATTCTCTGTAGTCTGTACTAGATGGTGCAAAAGCTGGTGATCCTAGGGTATAACTAATAAAAGAATAAACATACAACACCCCGGTGGCAATGGCATGACGTGACAGTCCACAAAGCCACCCATTTCACCTACGATAACCAAGAAAGAACTCGCCCAGCATTGGGGGATTGAAACAGAAGTACCCAAAAAAAAAACACAATGAACGGCTTAGTCATATCAATTCTTCTAAAGGAAATCACAGATGCAATTTAGTTCTCCACATGCACCCAACAACCTTTTTAGGAGACGGGTCTTTTGGTCCTTTGTCTCGTTGCCCAGAAGTGAAATATAGCCAGCCATCCCAATATCCTACCAACGTGGTCTTGATTCGAAAAGGTAACCGCCCAATCACACTCCATTCCTGCAGATGGAGGTTCAACAGCGTCACGATGGCATGCCAAGGGCCACAAATCCACAATGATTTACAAAATGCGATTTTGATACATTCTTATCATGCTTCCTGTTCCTCACCAAATTATGTACTTTTTCAGCATCATGGGAATGTAAATTTCAGCAATAGAAAGTTTAACAAGATTTTAGTTGCTTTTGTGTCAAATACACAGCAGAATGCTGATGCAATACCATCTGATGCTATTAACAAAAGCATGAAAACCCATTGAAAAGAAACAACAGCTACATCTTCAACGAGCATGCTCTGTTTCCTCCAATTTCCCATCCTTTTCTGAACTATCTTTACAAAGAACAGGAAACACAGAAACAGGGGGGGGGGGTAGATGTACCAGTGTATCCAGATTGAACCGAAATACTTCACCAACCATCACCATCTTTTTAGTTATTGGGTGCTTCTCTGTGCTTCCTCCAGCAATAACAAGAGAATTGTTGACATTCACCCAAGCAAATTCTATATGTGAATCTGGTTTTGGCATAGGTGGAAGTTCCTTCCAAGTCGTTCCATCATCAAGCATATAAACATTACTATACACAACCTGCACAAACAGAATGTAGTTTTTTTAAAACAGGGGCAATAACAAAGATAAACAAATAGTGCAAATAAAGTTCCTTCCAAGTCGTTCCATCATCAAGCATATAAACATTACTATACACAACCTGCACAAACAGAATGTAGTTTTTTAAAACAGGGGCAATAACAAAGATAAACAAATAGTGCAAATAGGAAGGTTAGAAAATTAGAAAATAGTGAAACTAGAATGTCACATTTAACTAGTACTTTTCGATTGATTCTGGTCTCAACTCAAAACCATCAACTATGGCAATGCTTGAATATATGCGATATATGATAGCTTCATAGTTAAATCAAACCAAATGTCTTTATCATTTGCTTTTTTCTTAAAAAAATGCAGTGCACATGATGCCAATCCACTTTCTGGTGAAATTAGGTCCTCCATTATTTATTGAACAAAGTAGGTGCAGCGTGTGTGGTGCTTAGATGCTTATTTACTAGACTTAATCATGCACAACATATGGTTAAGTTATCTTTAACGCAGGGAATTGATCTCAGTTGATCTTAAAACATAGGGACCACATAATGTGCATCAATTAGCTATAAGAATGAGTTGCATATCAACATACCTCACTTCTTCTGACACACTTAAATATAGGAGACCCAGGCTTGGCCATGAAATCACCTTCTTGACCACCGATAACAAGGAGTTTATCATTTGCAACAACACAAGCCCTGGTAGTAAAAGAAAATATCTTCATAAGAACTTCAGCAACTTCTTATAAAGTTCTTTGTACGCTGCAACCAAATATAGAAAAACATTTCCTAGAAGCATAAATGTTGCCCGGAGCATAAGAAAAGTGGAAGTGCAAAGCGCCAAAATGCCAAGACAGCCTAGGGCATAGGCATCTAGCAGCATGCTTTCCAATAAAAATGACAGCTGCTGATAACACGGGAAGGGAAAGTTCGAGACCTATGAGGACCTCCACGCGGTATTGGTATTTCGCTCCTCCACTCTTTCTCCAATGCTTTGCCATCCTTTACAGCAAGACTCCAGTGTTCATGCCCAGGTTCATGCCTATCCTCCTTGCTGCCACCCATCACATGAAGTCTGCCTCTCCAAAGTTGTGTTGCTGGAGCATATCTAAACAGAAGAATTTTAGTTGGAAAGATATTTGGTTCAAGTTCTTTACAGCCTACAAGTTGACCAAATATTCAGACAGTATTTGCAATAGCAGGATCAGTGGCAGAGTACAGTTAAAAATCTGGTGGTGCAAACTTCTATGCATCTAATACAAATACAATATTATATGGTGGAAAATGAAATTTCTAGTAAATCTGTTCCATGGTGGTACCTGTGCGTCACCCTGCCCTACATGGAACTAACAACTTTCAAGTGCAAGTAATGCATGGATGCCCAATTTTAAAAAATAAAAGAAGATAGTACCTAGGAACTGGCAATGGTGGCAAATCATGCCATTCTTTTGTTTCTGTGTCCAATACAAAATTTCGAGTTGTTGGTCCCCTACATTGTGGACCATACTGTCCAGTTACCACATAGATGAATCTTCCATCAGTAACCATCCCCAAATGTGAATGTGCCATGTCCTTGGGCATGTCAAATCTTCCACCCCATGTATTATCCGAGAAATTGTATATATCAACATGAGAATGCACCTAAAATAAAAAGAAAAAGGAAATTCCTTAAGGAAGGCAACTTGCTTAACATATTGAAATAACTCACATCCAACTGCAGTTTTTTTCAATTAAGAAAAAAAAAAACCATGGAATAGAACACCAGGGTGACATTTGCATTCTGCTATTACTAAATATAATTGAAAGTCCAGCAATGTTAGTATTATTATAATGGCATGAAACTGCCATTTCTATTAATAAAGAAGAAATTTACATGTAAGTCACCTACATGGAAAAGGAAAAGAAAAGACTTTGCAAGGGGGTTCCAAGCTAGGCTCGTACCACCAAAGAAGCTAAGAAAGATGCACCAGCAAGGCCCCAAGTTTAACCCTCCTCCCTAGTTTTACTCTGATCCCATCTACATAACAAACAATATAATTGCATAGAAAAGGAGCCTTCGCAATGTTATTACTTGTTATGTAGATGGGATCAGAGCAAACACTAATATATAGCACAAGTAATTCAAGCGTATTTCATTATGTAAGAGAATACATGAGTACATGACTGAATGGTCAGGACTAACTAGAGCTTGGCAATCTCAATAACTCAGGTAACTTACTTAAATTGAATGAATAGGGTATAATACTAGTACAATCAGTCTATTTCACAACTTGGTAATACGTCCTTTAATGAATGCAAGAGTATATAAGTAGCTATCTTGAGCTATCATTCAAATCTACAGTGACAAATACTTTTTCTATTATGCCTTCCAAAATATAAAGTGAAATCATCATGTGCAAGAGGGTATAACTGCTCCATATATCTTGAAACACAAAGCATGATGGTATAGGATAATGGAAGATATCAGGCAGGTTTCTCACATGGTTAATGGTGCCATATCCAGCAAATACATACAAGAGATTCTTAATTTGTATAGCAGCACCATCCAAACGGGCCACAGGTGCTTCAGCCATCTCCTCCCATTTTAGTTCTGGAGCTGGCAAGTCCGCAAAAGTTGCATTTATGTCAGTCGAACCTACAGATTTCTTGTCCTCCTTAATCTGTACAAGATTATAAAAATGACTAGTCTTGAGAGAGGCCATTGTAGCAACTAGCAACATGACAAGAATAAAAAACGAAGTAAAGTTGCAAATAGAATCCAACGTAACAGACTTTTAGACCAAGTGATAACTGACAATTCCTCATGGCATATGTCATTACATACAAAAAATAATGCAAAACGTCCAATCACGTAACAGAACTTTACACATCGTTTACTACTGTATGATACCAAATGATTCGAGCAAAAACTGTGTGATGCCAAAGTCATGTCAACTAGACATATGCAAGATATTATATACAGTTGTTATCATGCTAAATTAATGTCATCTAGGCAAAAGTATGATAACAAATGTGAATGGACAATATATTTCTGCTTCTGCCCATGGAAAACTGAAAAGATAACTCTCCTGGTTTTCTGGTCAATGTACTCTACTTTTACACATAGGACCTAGATTTCAAATTAGATTGCTGTGAAGTGTTGAATATGCTTATAAAAGCAAAACGACATGTTCCTATGGCAACCTATGGAAATTATAAATACTACACTACTCAAGCAAATGTGCAGCAAAGTGCAGGTGTTATGCTAATTGAAAACTAATGCACATAATCCACAAGCAGAAGCTGTAGCATTGTAGGAAAAAGGACTACTATAGCCAAGGATCACAACCAGAGTACCTCCATTCCTATGAGGCGTGAAATTCAAATGAACCCACAAATCTATCGCCAAATTTCACGCATAACACGTAATGGCTGCAAATATATGGACTGCATTAGGTCGAGCAAATTCCCCAGTCAAGCAAGCATGTTCAGCTCAGCTGATCAACACGCATACGTTTCCCAATTCCTCCCTGATTCCCACCAGATCTCTCCAATCCCGTACGCGCGTCGGTAATACGCTCCCCAGCCCTACCACGGAGGACTAACGCTTGAGCCCAGCGGCAAGCCGGCAGCAATCTCGCATCCCTAAGCATTGGGCTTGAGAAAGGGGGAGGCTTCACCTTTTTCGCGACGGGCGGCGTCGAACTGGTGGGGCTGGTGTGGAGGTTAAGCCTGGAGGACCAGACTGCCGAGGACGACGCGGAGGACGAAGCCCAGAGGTAGTCGGCGACGAGGACGAGGCCGAGGATGGCGACGACGGCGAGCGCCACCAAGTGCTTCGACGCCCGTGCCTTCGCCGCCGGCCGCGCCATCGGCGGGCGGCTACGACGGAAGGACTAGAGAAGGTGGACGCAGCGGGGACGTGGAGGGGAGCGCGTCGGTGGCATTGACGGCGGATCGGCGTTCGGCGCGGCGACTTGTAGCGAATTGAAGTGACGGTGCGGAAAGAAAGACCGGCCGATGGATGCTGGATACGCGTGCGTAGAGAGAGAACGAGGGAAATACGGTAGCACGATGACGTTCTTTAGATTTTGTATTAGGGTTAGGGGATGCTCGTAATATAATATGATTTTTTCAGATAAATGTAATATATATATATATATATATATATATATATATATATATATGAGGCTAAAATGCAACAAGGTGCAATTAATATAGCAATTGCACAGACCACAAAAACACCTCCCGCCTGCGTCCCGACAAAAAGCAGGCCACGCCCATTCAGGCGATCCGCATCCACCGCTGGCGTGGGCGACGCGCCGCCGCCGCCGACACGGGCCACTCGCCTCCCATAAAAAAAATGGGCGCGCGCGCATCCGATTCGTCCGAATCGGCGCCAATTGCAACGCTGCGGTGTCTTGTGATTGCAACCTCGATTACATTACGGTTGCAACATATATGCGTGTACCGGTATGTCTTGAACGGCAAGTAAAAAATACAATGCGAAGCGAGTAAAAGGGATCGCCGAGGAGGAAAAACGCATCCCACCCCACCCCTCTTGCGATGAGAGGCGCGCCGCCGCGGGCGGAGCGCCTTGAGGGGAGTGCGTTCTTCTCCTCGCTGCATGCCGCCAAGGCCTCGCCTCTGCACCGCTGCTGGCTTAGCCGCCGCTGGCGCTCAAGCGCCGCTGTCGCCGCGAAGTCGCCTCCCGCGTCCGCCTCCAAAGATCGAGATGGGGCTAACGCCGCCGTGTCGCTTCGTCGAGGTTGGGCCGCCGCTCTGCGTGATCCACCGACGGCATCGGAGAGGGTCGCTGCGTTGATTCGAGCACATCGGAGAGAGCCTCCGCCGTCGTCGACACCCATGCTTCCCCCGATAACAGCAATTACAAGCAATCCCCTCCACCATACGACGACACTCACGCCGCCGCTGACATTGGCTCCAGGGGACATGGTGACTCCAAATGCCAATAAAAAAAGCACTTGACCTCCCTTATGCTGTGCCTATGAGTTGAATGCTTGAATCACCTGTGATTTGTGTGCTGGGTGCAACTAATTGCGACACGGCTTTCGTAGTAATTGCGACACAGCTTTGGGATTAAACTGAATAACCTGTCACTGACTTTTCCCATGGATCTGGAAAAAAATGCAACTAATTGCAATAGAGATTTGGTAGTAATTCTGTCGACGTTTCGGACCGGGGGTCCTCAACCAACCAGTAAATATGAACTGCGTGCCCTTAATCCCGGATGGTGATGCAAAGAGACACAAGGTTTATCTTGGTTGAGCAATCGGCGCCCTACGTCCGATCTAGGAGATCGATCTTGTATTCTGACGAAGTGCTTGTAGTAGGGGTTACAAATTTGGGTGAGAGAGGAGCTAGTCAGTCTCGGCGTGAAATGGTGCGGGATGCTTGAGTCGTTGCTCTCGAGCGGCGTGGGGCAGCGTGAATTGAGTGAGTGCGTTTTTTGCGTGAGGGTGGCGTGGTTTCGATCCCTAGAAACGCCTGGCCGCTTCCTTTTATAGCCACAAGGAGGGAGACAGGAGTACATGAGAGAGCTACACATGGAGCCTTAGCGAGAAAGGAAGATCGAGATTGTGGCCTATTCACCTGTAGCAAAGACGATTGTCGGGAATGGCAATTGGTACTTGATCACGGCGAGGCCACTTGAGCCATGCCCGAGGTTTGTTGAAGTCGTGAAGAGTCCTTGTTGACGTCTAGTCAAGTATGGCCTCCACTTGTAGGTGACATGCCGTGCACTGGTGGACTCTTGTCTGGTGGAGTGCCGAGGGCCTAGCGGGTCTTGGAGCTGATCGTGCCGAGGCCTTCTTTGCCGAGGCCTCGGAGGTGACGTAATGACGCGGGGGTCTCGGTGGTCTGTGTCATACCCGATTCCGGTGAAAAAGTGCGGAATGGGCGTCCGCAGGGAGCTGTAGTCTCTGCACCGTCAGTAGGGGATGGTAAAAAGGTGATTTGACCGCCGTCCCATCGCCCCTTTTGCCATACCCTGCCAATCATGGCTAACGTAGGCGTAACTAGGGGTACTTACATGGATGGGACGGCCCGCCAGAGGGGCAATTGAGGCGGAGGCGACGAGAATGCGGGACGAGCCCGGCCTCGGCCGAGGCGGAGAAGGAATGGCGCGTCCGAGGCCTTGCTGGGGGGTCTCGGATGAGGCAGAGACCGAGCAGTTGGGCTCTCCTGCTGTTTCCGATGCTACAGGGACATGGACTCGACCTTCCATGCCGCTTTGTCCTTGGCGCAGGGGTTAGGTAGCATAGGGCAGTATAAGTGTCAGGAGGGAGCATAGTGGTGAGTATAGTGGCAGGTAACCCCTACTGTGCCCGGTCCCTGTCCTGTCAGTTGTTACGCCCTGCACTATACTGCGTCTGGCGGGACGTTCATGGGAGTGGTTGGGTGCATTTAATGGACGGGCGTGGCGTTTTCCAGAGGAGTTCGGTCGAGACGGAGGTTACGAGTACGTTCGCCGAGCTCGGCCTCGAGCGAATCGGAGAATTGGAGATCCGTCCGAGGCCTTTCGGGGCGAGGCCTTGGCGAGAGGGTCTCGGCGAGAGGGCCTCGACGGGACGTTTTAGGCCTGTTTCACATGAGGCCTCAGCGCAAGGCCTCGGGCGAATCGGAGAATTCTGCCGAGACCTTGCAGTAGTCTTTTGGCTTTGGTTTTAGCAAGGCTTAAGCAATATTCTTGGATCTTGCTTAGGGTACCCCTTCTTGTGGTATCCGAGCAGTAGCACCCGAGCCTCGGGAGGAGTGCGGCACTCTCGAGGTTTTGACGAGACTTGGTTCGCATGCAGCTCTGTCGGGATCGTGTTTTGTACTTGGTGGTTACGGTGGGTGCGCTGAAGGCACCTGGTGTGAAGTTTTTGAGGCCCTGGAGGAGGGTTTACTCCTCCTGGGGGCTTTTTTCTCCGTTGAGCAAGGGGTCTCATCGTGCTTGCCGGGCCCGTGAATGTGAGTTTGGGTCGCTGGGTCTCGGCAAACTTTGCAGGAAGAGCCCCCTAGCCTTTGCACAGAGCAAGAGGGCCGTCAGGTGCTCTCCTGGCTTTTTATACACCTCTCGCGCATGAGGGTTTATTTGCTGTGACCCCCTCGGGTGCGAGCCTAGGTCGCGGGGCCTCAGCATATCTGTAGGAAGAGCTCCCTAGCCTCTACCCAGAGTAAGAGGGCCATCAGGAGTTCCTCTGGCTTTTTGTACGACCCTCGCGCAACATTTTTGTTCAGAAGGAGGGGTTTGTTTGCCGAGCCCCCTCGAGTGCGAACCTGGGTCGCTGGTCTCGGCAAAGTTGTAGGGAGAGCTCCTTAGCCTCTGTGGGGAGGTCCGTTAGGGGTTCTCCCTAGCTTTTTTATACGACCCTCACGCTTCCTTTTCGTTCAGAAGGAGGGGTGGAATATGCCAGGCTACCCTCGGTGGGTACGAGCGGTGACACTTTCGGTGAGCTGCTATCGGGTAAGTCCGAGTGGAGGCCCGTGCCCCATTCGATAAGGGTTGGCTAGCGGTCCAGAGACGCACTCCAAAGGTACCAGAGGGCTTCTCTATTGGGTCCCAGGGCCGTTCAATTGGCCCCGGGGGCTCGGCGCCTCCCTACGGTGGGATCCCATTCGGAGAACTCCCCGCTGGTCTCGGACACGACTTAGGGCATCCCGAGCGATCGCTTGCTTGGGCCATGGCCATGTACGGGCTCGCCCATAGTTGTCCCTAACTCTATTATCCTGGGGCGACTGTCGAAACCCTCGGTGGTCCAGCCTTCGAACACCTGGACCGTAACAGGCTCGGTGCCCTTTTTGTTGCTTTTTTCCGAATCTATGAGTGCGGGCCTGGGAGGCTTGTCCTTGTTTTGAGTGCAGAAGGAGCCCCCGAGCCTCCGCACGGAGCGAGAGGGCGGTCAGGGGGTTGTTTGCCGAGCCCATTCGTGTGCGAACCTAGGTCGCTGGGTCTCGGCAAACCTGCAGGAAGAGCCCCCTAGCCTCTGCATGGAGCGAGAGGGCCGTCAGGTGCTTTCCTGGCTTTTTATACGCCTCTCGCGCGTGAGGGTTTGTTTGCTGAGACCCCCTCGAGGGCGAGCTTAGGTCGCGGGGCCTCGGCATATTTGCAGGAAGAGCTCCGTAGCCTCTGCCCGGAGCAAGAGAGCCATCAGGAGTTCCCCTAGCTTTTTGTACGACCCTCGCGCAACCTTTTCGTTTGGAAGGAGGGGTTTGTTTGCGGAGACCCCCTCGAGGGCGAGCCTGGGTCGCGGGGCCTCGGCATATTTGCAGGAAGAGCTCTGTAGCCTCTGCCCAGAGCAAGAGGGTCGTCAGGAGTTCCCCTGGCTTTTTGTACGACCCTCACGCAACCTTTTCGTTCAGAAGGAGGGGTTTGTTTGCCGAAACCCCCTCGAGGGCGAGCCTAGGTCGCTGGGTCTCGGCAAGATTTATAGGGAGAGCCCCCGAGCCTCCGCACGGAGCGAGAGGGCGGTTAGGAGTTCCCCTGGCTTTTTATGCGACCCTCGCTCATCTTTTTCGCTCGGAAGGAGGGGTGGAATATGCCAGGCTACCCTCGGTGGGCGCGAGCGGTGACACTTCCGGTGAGCTGCTATCGAGTAAGTCTGAGTGGAGGCCCGTGCCCCATTCGATAAGGGTTGGCTAGCGGTCCAGAGACGCACTCCAAAGGTACCAGAGGGCTTCTCTATTAGGTCCCGGGGCCGTTCGATTGGCCCCGGGGGCTCGGTGCCTCCCTACGGTGGGATCCCATTCGGAGAACTCCCTGCTTGTCTCGGACACGACTTAGGGCATCCCAAGCGTTGCGTTTGCTTAGGTCTCGGCCATGTATGGGCTCACCCATAGTTGTCCCTGACTCTGCTGTCCTGGGGCA